AGTCCTCAAGCTGACATTTTTGTTCTCCAACACTTTAAAAAGGTCTCGGGCAGCAGATTTGCCTGATGCAATATGATCACTGGTGTAGTGTTGTGGAATAAAATACTGGACTGCAAAGTCAGCTTGAGCCGCAAGATCAGTGGTTGAAACTCATCAATCCCTCCTTGGAAACCCTATACAAGGTTGCTTTGAGTTGTAATCAACTTGATGGCACTTAACAACAACAACGAGTTGAATAAACTTGGCAACACTCAACAACAACAACTATAACACAGAGTTGAAAAGATATGAAGGTGAATGAGACACAGTCTTTGCCCTCAAAGTCCTCACAGTCTAATACAGGAGCTAGAAGAGCAAAAACCATCTCAATTGAGCGTGCTAAGTGCTTGGAGGAAGGTGAATATAGAAGTCCCGATCAGACTTGGTGACTCAAGGAACTGATACATTTAAAGAGAGAGCTCATGGTTGACAGGCAGAGGGAAGAGCACGTTCAAAGGCCCAGAAGCACCAAATACATTAGGATGTGATGTGGCTGAAGGAAAGGTGGGGTACAGATGTGTGACAAATAGATGTGCAGAAAAGTAGAGTGGGATCCAATCATGAAGCATCTATACACCAAGGTACAGCCTCGGGGACTAATCCTGAAAGCCACAGGGAGCCACTGAAGGATGTGAATTGAAGAAGTAACTGCTTCAGATTTCCATTTTGGAAAACTCACTCTCAAATAACGAGTGCTGAGTGCTTTGAAGATGTGAGCCAGTTAGAAGGTTATCAAAAGAATTCAGGCTGAAGATGCTGATGGCTAAAATTAAAGTGGCAACAGCTATGAGAATTGCTCAGTACCTACAATTGACCAGACTCCATCATTGACTGACTGCGGATAAAAGATAACAGAGAACAATGACAGCTTTCCAGGTTGTGGCTTAGAGAAGACAGAGGATAATGGGATCTGGTTCTGACATAGGAAAGACATGAATGGGAGCAAAGTCAGCTGTGAAGACAATGAGTCTGGCGAACAATGTGGAGGACATTGAAGTGGAGGTGTTTGGATTTTCTACTCAAGGAAGAGATCTGGCCAAGGAAATAGATCTGGGAGTCGTTATTTTAGTGGAAGGTCCCTGGTGTGAATGGTTTGCTCTCAGCTGCTAACTGTAAGGTTGGTGGATCACAACCAGCCAGTGGTGCCTTCAAAGAAAAGACTGGTGGTGATCCACTGCCATGAAGATGACAGTCAAGAAAATCCTCTGGAACTCACTTTTACTGTGTGTGTAACACATGGGGTGGTATGAGTCGGAATTGCTTCTACAGCAATAGGTTTAGTGCAAATAGTTAACATGCTCAGCTACCGGTCTAAAGGTTAAAGGTTCAAGTCCACCTAGAGGTTGCGCAGAAGAAAGGCCTGCTGACCTACTTCCAAAAAAATCACTCAATGACAACTGATTATGTCAAGAACCGCCAAGGGTCCATCTCCAAGTAGACCATCTCAATGGAGAAGAGCAGAGAGGACAAAGAACACTAACAATGTGACTCAGCAGGGACCCTATTATAACCTCGGCATTCCAGTCTCCTCACATGGAAAATGGGAAGGACAAGTACTATGATGAGAATCCAATAAGATCAGAGACTTTTTAACTCACAGCAGCAGGCTCAGCACATAGAAGCCTCTCACCATCTGGATCTTTCCCTGTTTCTCATGAATCATGTGATCAATGCATGACCCCATCTACTTAAGACAGATGCTATCTTTTGCTTCTTTTTACAGGTTGAAAATGTACCTGGATTAAAGGGAATCAGTGAGGGACCATGCAGAGGCCCTCAATATTTTCTAATATAGCTCTTTCTTAATGATTGGCAACCCTTTTTTGAATTGCTCAGTTTGCAAATGAATGTGGCAAAAATAAGATAAGAAATTATGTACTCAATAATTTTACCAAGTTGAGTTTGAGGAATATAGCTGTTCAGGGGTCTGGATTAAAATGTTAAATTCTGACCTTCCTATCTTGCTATGCTTCAGAGTTACAGAAGAGTATGATAATTAAAACAATCACCATAAATCTGTCCTTAATGAATTACCTGAATTCACCACTTGGACAGTTGTTGATGTGTTGTTTCAGCAGAGTCGTACTTAACTATTCTGCCCTTTCACACCTTGCTTCCACAGTTGAGATCAAAAATGATGTTTCTGAGTTTAGGGGAAAGCTAAATCAAACAATCCCATAAATTGGGCAAAATCTCACTGCCAAAGACCTTGGCTGTCCAATGCCTATGCCCATTGCCCTATGCCCATTACCTGTTCCCCTCTGTCACCAATGGCTTCTCTGGGTGAGTGGTAGAAACCATTGGGATGGTTACATCATGGGCTGTGTCCCCTCCTTCTTCGTGCAGCAGTGGAAGGACGTCTTCTTCCATTGATTCCCCTGACTTCTTCTTACTCCCATGATACGACCCTCCATCAATAAGGTTCCCAAAATTACCTGTAGAGGCAGTAGCAAGGAGAGAAGGGCAGGGTGTCAGCAAGAATTATCCAGCTTCTTGGTATACGAAATGTAAGTTCATATCCTCCCAGGGTGGAGGCATAAGATTTCAATATGAAGGTGGGAAGACCAAATAAAGAAGGTGAATGACGACAGTATGTCGTCATCAATATCTATCTTCTCTCTTTCATAAAAACTGCAAACATTACAAATTAGAAAACACAATCAAAATTAAAAGGGAAAATGTCTATTGAGATCAAGAAACCTACTCATAACCCTGTTGAGTACTTTGGTGGCTATCCTTCCAAATTTTTCATGTAGATGTTAATGGGGGATCATTGTAGATATATGATTTTGTAATGTGGTGTTTCTGGACACAGAGATTTGGGATTCTGTTTCAATCCTTCAACCATGTGGTTCAAGCACTGTCTCCTGCTCCCTAAACATGAACCAAGATCTTCTCTGAGGGAACATTCATTTTTGGAATGATATTCTCAGCCCAGGAAAATGACTGGGAGTTATAATAACAATGCCTACTATATGCAAATGCAAAATAGATGTCAGAAGAGACACTGAAACTTGCTCTCCAGTGTAGAGATGCTAAAGCAAATGGAAGAAATGAGGAGGTACAAGTGCTGAACAGAAAATTTCAAAGGTCAGCTCGAGAAGACAAAGTCAAATATTACAATGCAATGTGCAAAGATCTACAGTCAGAAAACCAAAAGGGAAGAACACACTCAGCATTTCTCAAGCTGAGGGAACTGAAGAAAAAAATTCAAGTCTTGACTTTCATTATTGAAAGATTCTCTGGGCAAATTATTGAATAATGCAGAAAGCATCAAGAGAAGATGGAAGGAATACACAGAGTCACTGTACCAACAGGACATGGTTGATGTTCAACCATTTCAAGAGGTAGCATATGATCAAGAGCCAATGATACTGAAGGAAGAAGTCCAAAGTGCACTGAAGGAATTGGCAAAGAACAAGGCACCAGGAATTGATGGAATGAAAATTGAAATCTTTCAAGAAAGTGAGGCGGCACAGGAAACACTCACTCATCTCTGCCAAGAAATTTGGAAGACAACTATCTGGCCGACTGATTGGAAGAAATTCATATTTGTGCCCATTCCAGAGAGAGGTGACCCAACAGAATGCGGAAATCATTGGACAATATCTTTGATATCCCATGCGAGTAAAGTTTTTCTAAAACTTTATGGCTGCAAGCATACATTGACAGAGAACTTCCAGAGGTTCAAGCTGGATTCAGAAGAGGCTGTGGAACAAGGGATATCATTGCTGATATCCAATGGATCTTGGCTGAATTCAGAGAATATCAGAAAGATATTTACCTGTGCTTTATTGACTATGCAAAGGCTTTCAATTGTGTGGATCATGACAAGCCATGGACAACATTGCAAAGTATGAGTATTCCGGAACACTTAATTGTGCTCATGAGGATTCTGTACATGGACCAAGAAGCAGTTGTTCGAACAGAACATGGGAACACTGGATGATTTAAAATTAAGAAAAGTGTGCAACAGGGTTGTACTCTTTCACCATACTTATTCAACCTGTGTGCTGAGTAAACAATCTGAGAAGCTGGGTTCTATGCAGAAAAATGTGACATCAGGATTGGAGAAAGACTCATTAACAACCTACAATATGCAGATGATACAACCTTGCTTGCTGAAAGTGAAGAGGACTTAAAACAATTACTGATGAATATCAAAGAGCACAGCCTTCAGTATGGATTGCGTCTCAATGTAAAGAAAACAAAAATCCTCACCACTGGACAATAATCAACATTCTTATCAATGAATAAAAGATTGAAGTTGTCAAGAATTTCATTCTAATTGGATCAACTATCAACACTCACAGCAGTCAAGAGATCAAACGGTGTATTGCATTAGGCAAATCAGCTGCATAACACCTTTTTAAAGTGTTGAAGAGCAAATATGTCAGCTTGAAGACTAAGGTGTGTCTGACCCAAGCCATGATATTTTCAATAACCTCATATGCATGTGAAAGATGGACAGTGAATAAGGAAGATCATAGAAAAACTGATGCTTCTGAGTTATGGTGTTGGAGGAGAATATTGAAAGTGCCATGGGCTGCCAAAAGAACCAACAGACCTGTGTAGGAAGAAGTGCAGCCAGAGTGCTCCTTGGAAGCCAGGATGGCCAAACTTTGTCTCTCATACTTCGGACATGCTGTTAGGAGGGACTAGTTGCTGGAGAAGGATATCATGTTTGGTAAGATGGAGGCTCAGAGAAAAAGAGGAAGACCCCCCAACGAGATGGAATGGCCAAGTGGCAGCATCGATGGACTCAAGCATGGCAGCAGTAGCAAGGTTGGTCCAGGATCGGGCAGTGTTTTGTTCTGCTGTGCATAGGGTCGCTATGAGTCGGTAGAGATTCTATGGCACCTAACAACAACAACTATATGCCTAAAGAGCTCTGGTAGCATAGTGGTTACAAATTGGGCTGCTAACCTCAAGGTCAGCAGTTTGAAACTACCCACTTTTCCTTGAGAGAGAAAGGAGGCTTTCTGCTCCTGTAAAAATTTACAGCCTCAGAAACCCTATACAGGGTCGCCATGAATTGGAACTGACTCCATGGCACATAACCACCACCACTATATGCCTAGAGTCCTGGTGTGAAGCTATAGGATAAACACAGGGCTGCTAACTTTAGCACTGGCAGTTCAAACCCACCAGTTGATCCTCAGAAACCCTATATAGAGTTGCTATGAGTGGGAACCAACTCGATGGCACTTAACAACTCTATGCCTGCCACTTTACATGCATTAACACCTTAAGCCCTTATTCAAACTCTGGGAGGAGATATTGCTAGTCCATGTTATATAGCAGGAAACTGAGGCACAGGGCCTAGGAACCGAGGCTATCCAATGTGTTTTAACATTGCTTTTTAAAATAAAAGTACAAAAATAAAACCATCCTGTCTATATTGGGACTATGGGTGGACATGGACTTAATTGTCCCCTTCTTTCTTATGTACAAACCTCCAAGAAACCTTCAAGAAACAGGTCCGTGGTCCACTTTATGTGCCAGGCACTGTGCTGGGTGGCACTTACCAATAGAAAGTTCAAAGCTAATGGGTTTATCTCCAATCTTCCGGTCTATCATGGTAGCTTCGAAAAATGCTCCAAAGAGTAAAAATTCCTCATATTTTTCTGGCACTATCTATGGAAAGTAAAAATTATTAGACAGAACTGGATTTCTCTCTCTCACCAGAAAACCATGTTAGTGATACTACCCTGACCAGGCTTCTAAATAATGGTCCTGGGTAATTTCTCAGGACTTGAGTCTCCATTTCCAACCTGAAATGGCACAGTGTTTCCCAGCTACTAGACAGACAGTAATCAAGGCCAACAAATTGCAGATCCAAATTCAGATCTAGAATGGTGTGCCCTCAGTCTCTGAACCTCCACCTTAAAATAACCCCTCCTTCTTTCACTTCCAAGATTAACCTTGGTGTGTGACTCTTTCTATGAAGCTCTTGGTGAAACAGAACTTGGAGTCCCATACTGGTGAGCAGGCATTTATGAAATAGAAAATTGGAGACAAGATACACGGAGCTACAAGATTAAACTTTTACATCAGAGCAGGACATGCCGTGGCTTATACAGGGTGGCCACATACACTGTGTCATTTATTTCTGTTAACAAATTTGATAGGTCAAATTTTGGATCGTACCCATTTTACAGGTCAAGAAACAGAGGAAACTGAAGCTCAAGGTTGTTGAATAATTTTCCAGGTGGAATGACAACAGACTCTTTGAACTCTTTCTTAACACAATGCATTGGTACCAGTCCAAAGTAAAATTGTCTCCCCAAAAGAACATAATTGAGGTCCAAAGTGGAGAGAGAAGCATTCCCATGAGCACTGGTCAGTCACTGTGTCTAGGAGTGTGCTGATGCACGTGCCTGCTAGTGAAATTGGAAGAGTGTCTGGAGAGGGAGAAGACTGGGGTCATCTGCTGAGGCACTGAGACATGCTGCAGAGTCCATCCTCTCCAACCTCCATCTTTTACCTGTGATTAAACTAAAGCTGAGAGACTCAAGTCTATAATCCTAGCATCAGTCTAGTATCCCCTAGGAATGGGCATCTCTGGAAAGACAGTCACCACCTCCCTTTCCTACCAAAACGTGTTGTCTGCTTGACTTGAGAAACATGCTCCCGTAGGCTGAGAACTGCAATCTACCCAACTCAGCTACTGACAAAACATTATATACAGTCTTTAATTTGGCTAACTATGGAGTCCTGGTGTGGTGTGGTGGCCTAATGTCTCAGACTGCAAAGTCATTTGAACTGCAAGGTCGGTGGTTGAAGCTCACCAGCTGCTCCTTGGAAACCCTATACATGGTCGCTATGGGTAGGAATTGACTCGCCAGCACTTAACAACAAAGCAATTATTATTGCTAAACTAACCTACTGAGAGAGGTAATTCAGAGTTTGTTTTCATCTTTGATTTCCAGATCTCTTTCCCATAATACAAAACTAAGCTTAGCTGGGGGT